TAGTCGGAATTTGTTCGGCACCATCCTGGCTCCAGTTAAATCCTGGTATAGGGACTGGCAGAACAGTTCGATTACGGAGCAATCGAAATTGATCGAGATACCGGAAAATTCTACAGGACTCGATACTCCATGAGGCAGGGAAAACCTTGCCAATCGGTATACTATCTAGAAAATGAAGGTATCGCGATTTTCTGTTTAACAGGTTGAGTGCTACGTCAGTCCCTGGACTGACAGTAGACTTTTCGTTTGAACGACGTGGATTCTAGGGACTGACAGCGAACTTTTCGTTTGGTCGACATCGGTGCGTGAGACCGGCATTGTCAAGGGTTAAATTATTAACGACGATTAATATATTGTAAAAACTAAATTCCCTCTGATAAAGTAAATCATTACACTTCCGTGGCTTTTTTTGGCTGGTCGTCTCTTAGGGATTGCCTTTTTGCCTTTCTGACATTCCATTATCTTCTGTTTATAATTTGTATATTTGTGCATTGGTTGCACCAATCTCACAGTCCAAATGGTAAAATGAAACAAAGTAATCTTTTGTTCATACTCTTCGGCATACTTGAGCGCTCGGCATCTAGTGCTCACTCGCTGCCGTCTGGGCGGAAAGTATAGCAAAATCGGCACCGCACTCGACGTGTTAAAAAGAACAAGATAAGGCCACCTTAGAATTACCAAATTACCTGCTAAGTCCAATTCTACCTCGATGATACAAGACGGAAGGACCGTTCGGATAAGATAAGGAGGGACGAAGGCGGCTGCAACGAGTCCAACACGACGGACACAGGGAGGTAAAAGAAAATGGGAGAAATCGAGATGAACGCGATTTACCCTCTTAAGCAGAGTGGGCAGAAATGGACGGGGACAGTGAAAATAATTAGTCATTTATGAGGCCGTAAGTGGGGCCGCAAATCGGTCCCTCTCAAAGGGACAACAGCGCAGGGACGGTGCGGCGTTATCTCGAAATTATTAATCATATCGTAACGCGTCGCACCGACGAAGAAAGAGAGGTGACCGGAGAAGGGGGGAAAGAGCCACGAACCACCGACTCCATGGACTTATCTGACACCTTAATCAATTCCAAGTTATTAATTACAGACCCTGCCCTCCGCGCCGCCATCGTGTTGCTCCTCCATCAAGCCTCCATGGCACACGCTTCAGAAAGCCACCGGAGCATTGTCTGTGGCTTACAATGCAGTGTCAACACGATCGCAGTCACACTTCCAGCCTGCTGATCATTAATAATTATTTAGCGGACCTTAAGTCTCGTTAGAGGAGGCCACGAGTGAGTCCTGCCGTAGTTTCTTCGGATCCTGCAGGTGTTCCTCCATCGAAGCATCGATCCCTCCTATCGAAGCATCCTCTCTGTGCACTGTCAATGGGAGTAGTCGAGGAATAATGTTTCGGAAAGTTCATACACTTACGGGCTTCCAAGCCTTCATCCCGTTGCAACGCGACGAAAGCTTAACGACCAAGGGAACGGGTTTCTGGCGTGTCGAGAGCCATAAAAAGAGCGGAGGGTCCTCTTCTCGATAGAAGTTGAGCGATCGTCTATGCAAATACCTAATCCTTTCGCAGATCCATCCAGGTGACGTTGACGGATTGGCCAAGGACTTTGTTCGAAGGCAGCCCGAACAGATTGCAATCCGCGACACCATTTGTTTCCTCCGAGACGCGGGGAGCTTCCTGTTGGCGCTGAGACCGACTGGCCGAGGCCGATTAACGGGTCTTCATTAATTGCTAATAAAGAGAACGAAAACCGGATGACGTACGTTTTCACGCGAAAAGCCGGAAAGATCGAACGTTGCACGCGTTTGCTCGAATCGGCGGAGTCCATTCGATACGGGCATTAAAACCTTTGCCTAAGGTTTCTTTCGCCTTCCTCCATGGGAGGCAAGAAAAATTACTTTCGCCCTGGCCAGTGATTAACGGTGCCTCGTTATTTCCGACGGAATGCCGCGACATTTCCGCGCGGGGGAAATATAATAATAACGCGACGTGTCAAGACGCTGAACGTTAAGATTCCCAATGAATACCAGGAAGAAGTTCTATCGATTATTTTTATGGAATATTCGTCTCGAAAGAGTCGAAATTTCTGGCAACAGGATAGAAACAGCGGTTTCCGTAAGTCCAATGAAATATTTCCGATATTACGATGTACGAACTATTCTCTAATCTCGAAAGAGATTTAAACGCGTGTAAATTTTCGTGAACGAAGAATCTACGGAAAGTCGATAATTACTGTGGCAGAAAAAGAGGGTTTGAAGAATTAATCACCCAGAGAAAAGACAATGGCACGGGTCTGGAAAAATATTTTCCACCTTTCCCCTTGGCGGCCAAGGGGTGGAGTATCTACAATGAATCGGGAACAAAATTTTCGTGGATGGAATGTGAGATAAAATTCTGCGAACATTCTTTAAATTACCCTCATCGTCGCGATAGTTTCCAGATAATAACGTACGATTAATCAAAGCATCGTTGAAATCGCATGTATTACGATGGAAAACGTTCTCTCGAAGCTCCTAATCCTCGAAATGTCGTAATATATACAGGACATATTCTCAAGAGTGCATACCAATAAAAATGATAAAAAAGAATTATATCCAAAGCTGAAGGGCTGCTTAATAATCGAGGCTCATTAAAATTTAATTGCATCGATACGCGTTACGATCCTTTTACAAGCGCTTAATTAGACTCCTCCTTCTCCTCCTCCTGATGCTGTTATTTTAAATACTTAGCAGGGAAGAGACGGCCACTTGTTCCTGGTTTTCACACCCCTTTGTCCTGTACCGAAATCAAGCGTGACATGACACACGCTGTAATCCGCGCAAAGGGTTGATCCCAGTTTAGCCGGCTGTCCGTAAACCGTGGAACCCGCTGGACTTAAGCCCAGGCAAATTTAAATCCGTCAATCTTGAGTATCCAGGAGGAAGCACATAATCATCCCAAGCGTTTGTAAAATCCGTACAGACATTAAAAGCTTTTTTCCATCGGTGCCGGGAATATTTAACCCCTATTCCTGAACAGACTCAATTTCATTCGAACCAATATTGACACCCCGGACAAGCGATTCGAGAGAGATTTCGTACTGTGCCTGTGACGAAGAAGTCCTCTCTTAAGACTAGAGTCCAATGACTGAAGAATACAAAGACATCTCTGAGAAACGAAATACTGACTCTATAAACGAGCTTTTATTTCATTGGGAGAACAATAAATATAATTGAGCGTGGTTTCCTATGTCGATAGAAGAGATACTAACTAATAGCTTCTACGAGTAAACTGTTTGGCATTGACAATGACATTCACTGATAAAAGACTATAGTACAATGACGAACGAACAGGATTTACTTAGTAGAATAATGATATATCGAATATAGAGAAGGATAAATCGTTCGTGCAGATGCGTCCCTGATCGTCGGTGGACTTGGCAATTAGGCGTGCGAAGACGCGAGTCCAGCACGGGGAATATGACTCGAGATCGTGCCGAAAAGCGGGCCGGAAAAGAGAGAGGAAAAGACGAAATTGCTCCGTGGCCGATGAGCGTCGAATAAGGCGAAACGGTATTAAGACGGCAGGGCCGGTTTCCTCGAGGCTGATGTATCATTTGCTGGCGGGTCGTTAGGCGGTTTCAATTAGTTTTCCACGCTGCTCTCCTGGCCCAGCATCCACACGAGTATGGGGGAGACCGACGCAGCCCTTAATCGCACAGTCCAGTTTTTTCTCATAATTAGGAAAAGCTCGTTAATGCGCCCCTACTATCTCCTTTCTTCTTCCTTTCTCCTTTGCTTCCTCGTTCTCTCTAAATTAGTTTCCCTATCTTTTTACTTTTGTAATTCTCAAGGACATTGATCTTCTAAGTTTCAGAAACTTGGATCTTCTCAACTTGAAACTGGGAAGAATCGCTTCTTTAGATTTCTTTTATTGTTAGATGTAGAGACGAATTTGTCGAACACTTACGCTTGAACATTGATCAAATTAATTTTATGTGGAACATTCGTAACGAATGTTTGAATTCTGATCTTGATTCTCTTCTTGATTTCCGATGACGTTGTTAAGAAAATGAAGATGATGAAGAATTCGTTACCTGAACTTAGAGTTACGAAAGGCGCTTCTTGTGAATAAGGTCTCTCCTTTTCACTGGAAACGGTCAAGAATTTGTTCCCAAATGGAAAATCCATCTCAATGATCTACTTGTGAAATTGTTATGAATGTAATATTTTTGTAATTATACAATTCATAAAGAAATATTTATAGAATTGAAATTCACGAAATAAGACGATAATAATGTATTAACGAATAAAATACAATAAATTAACTAATTTCTTAATAGATAGTCTTTACAAAGATTAACAAAAAATATCTTCAAATGGCGGCCATTTTATCTTACCTTCGATATTCAAAGATCGCAATTTTTTTATAAATAAGCGATGCTACTTATTTATAGAAACGCAACTAATCCAAACTCAATCCAAATGTAGGTCTTAATAATTATGTAATTAAATTATCGTATAAACGTGATTGCGGTTAATTGTATTTTATACGATAATTTTATACAAATTACGAAATGTATAAATGCATGCTACATACCTTCAGGGTCAACAAATATGTTTAAACGTGATATAATTTACATGACTAACGATTAGTGAAAAAATGATTACGATACGTATATGAACGGAAATAATTTTTATAACCATATTAAACAATTTATCGTCAATATTTCAATTAAAATACAAAAATTTATAAGTACCTATTTGAAAGACGGACACAACGTACCGTTAGACGTACAACTGGCGCCGCCTCTAGGCGTATATACGAACATATATATTTGCTATCGAATCAATATCGATACTATGCAATTTGGCGCGAATTTTAAATGTGCATTTTAGAATTCATTGTCTATTAGTTAATTATTTAATAAAATAATTATTCGGTAATTATTCAATAAAATAAGTCGAAATACATCAACGATATTTAGGAATACAAATAACCACACTCACCGAACGAAGGAACGCCAACTGTCTAAAAATCCTTTCTCCACGATATAAAATGCTTTTTCTGGATCTTCGCACTTCAATATTTCGTTCCTATTTCTACCATGGTATAAGTCATTTAACTCGTCCTTTTGCTGCTTTGCTTTTATCTTATCGTCTTTTTTTGCTTTCTGTGCATTCTCCATTTTTTCCTGAACAGTAAAATACCTCGATATTAATATATAAAAATGTTTTATTTTTATTGAAATATAAATCTGAAATTGTACCTCACAAATTGAACACGACATAGAACCAATAGGATATTCCTTGGATTCTGGGAAATATTTTCGAAGTATCATCCAAGCTTCACAGGGCACTATCTTCCTTGTTGAATCCGGTGTTTTCAATGAACCATGCTCACAAAGTAAATCTTCATTGAAGTAAATTATAATCTCGTTCTCTTCGTTTTCTCCCCGTTCCTTCAGTCTCTCACTTTCCTTATTTGCACTTTTACTATCTCTTGGGGGACCATTTGGATCCTGACAGTCTTCATTCTCAATTTCCTGCTCCATATCATCCGTGAACTTTTCCATTGCAAGTCTTCGCCACGACCTCAATGAGTCAGCACCCACGATGTAACTAGTTTCATATCTGTTATGAAGAAAATAAAGTTTATTTTATTTTTACAAAATATTACATTCATTTAGACTATAACTAAGACTGAAAACATACGGTTCTTTGACATTCCGAACGAGTTCGCTAACTTCCTTATGATCACGTTCAAGTGACATTTTGAAACGAAGTAGCTTATATCGACGTTTCACGCAAACTTCGCAGAAAGAATTTTCATCCAACCGTGGTCCCCCGCGATATTTATCATAAAGCATATCTGCAGCTGCCACAGGCATACACTTCGCACGATTCACTTTTAAAGGATCGAGTCGATAATGTGAACACATCAATATAGAATTGTCTATTGGCGGTATTCCATCAATGGATGAGTGTCCATTAAGCCATTTTGATAACCAATCACTTGGAATCCATTGATATTTCTCCCACGAAACTACGTTCGAAATAATATTATATACGTCTATGACAAGTTGTCTTTTTAAGTTCTGATCTTCAATCTCCTTTTGCTACAAGAAACATTGTTGAGAATGCCTCTTAACTTAACCCTTTAAACTCAATTTATTAATACGTACTTTTTCTTGTTGAATAGCCAACAAGCTTAACTCGTGTTTTACATTTTCTTGCCTCACTAAATCACGCAATGTTGAACTCACTTCCCAACTTTCAAATTCCATCTATAAAATGACAAAACACATTAATATGAATAATAATGAAGAATCATATGAAGAGAAACAGAAGAAATATTAAATATATTTACCTCTTCGTAAAAATCACGTTCCCCGCAACTCATAGCTCTATGTGCAGCTCCATTTAATCGCTTATAATCCAATTTCACATCTTTTACAACTGGTTTCTTCATATGTGCATCATGCTGATTTTCCTTATTGTCAAATTCGTACTGTTTACCATTGTGTTCATCAAAAATAGATTCCAACTTTACATATACTTCCAGTGTAGTTTTCTCTAGGGATGCTTTTGAAGTTTCTACCTGTTCTTTCATCTCTGTGTCAAGTTTTGATATTTGTCCAGTATCACTCGCATCAGAAACAACAGAAATTGAATCACATGTGCGTTTTCCTTCATCTGATAAATCCGATGTTTCTTTAACTACTACAGTCCTTTCAATGGGTATTGCGTCATTGCTGATATTAGTTTCTCCATCTAATTTTTTTTGCTTATTTTTTTTAGTTGTACTTATTCGTTTTTCTGGAGTAACTTTTTTATAAACTAACATGTATGCAGTATTAGAAGACAAAAATCCTTTCGGTATACGTCCCCGTTTTACAACTTTCGAATTTTCTATAATAAACGACGCTAACTATATCTCACCGTTTTTTATGTATTTATTATACTTATTATTATACTCACCATTAACTCCATCCTCAATTCTTTTATTCTGCATTTTCTCTACTTTGTCATCACTAAATTGATACCATTCCCCATTTGAATTGCATATGTTTGCAATATAATGACCTGAATGCGCAGATGGACCTTTGTGACTCAAAACTGCGACAAGACTGTACAAATGAGTTTGTGGTGGACACCTCACATATTCCGACATATCGAGATCTTCGGGAAACTGTATAAAAGAATTTAATTTTCTTTTCTGTCCAGAATCCCTAATAGACAAAGTAACATATTCTATTAACATAACAATCTACTAATACAATATAAACGTGATAAAAAAGAAATACCTATGGAACACAAAACGCATTAGCTGTATGTTTAATGTTTCTGGAAGAGATTCTAAGCGTATAAATCGGCGTGCATCTTTTTTGTCATTGCAGGTAACGCAGTGATACTGATTTGCTCCAGTTAATTGTTCCACAGACAAGTATTTCTCTACTGCTTCTTTCAAAGTGGCTGCGAGCTGTAGATCCAATTCGTAGAATGTAGTGGAGGTTGGATATTCAGTTCCGCATTTCGAACAACTGCGTCAAACATAAAACTCGCGTTATTTAGAAGGAATCAACTTCTCTCGGTCAGATCAGTTGATCGCACCAGTCACCGCAGCGAGCAACGTGTCCTACCATGTTCTCATCGTCAAGATCATCAGCATCATCATCGTTTAGGACAATTCTCATTTGTTTTCCACTTCAGAAAACCCACCAATTGATATAGCTGTATTTTCCTTGAGTCAGCCTCTGCAGCATCTGCTTCAGTTCTGAGTTTTGTTGAAGCTTCCCTTCGATATGGCAGAGAAGCAGCTTGGAGAATTCCTGTGCATCCTGTTGAGTTCTAGTATCCAAAGACAACGCGATTGCAAGATTCATTGGATCGAGTAGACGACGATTTCCAAATTGCATCATTGCAAATATATATTGCAACTGTCCAACTGCTGTCACTGGATGAAATGGTGCTCCTGCCTTCTTAGCTTGACACAGTGCTTCTTTTTCCTCTGGATCTTCTGTGATACTCCATTTGTATATTATCCTCCTATAAACATCAAACTTCATTTTATAGCAAATATTTGTAAGTAAATTAAAACAAATTAAATAACAATATAAATAAATACGTACCTCATATCTTCATTATGAAACCACATTTGAATTAAGCTATTAACGTAACAGGTTGCACCTAAATTCTTTAGACCAACATATTGAGTAGGGTCACGTAACTCAGATAAAGAATTTTCTAAAGGTATTATTTCTGCAGGTTGTGATTTCATGTACTTTTCTTCTCCTAATCCAGTTAAACATTGTGGATTATTTGTGCAATTACGTCTGAAAACAAAGTATTTACTTTAAAATGTTAAAAAAGATATGAATCTATGTATTTTATAAGCATATAACTTACTTGCAATTTTTACATGTTTTTAAACCTATTCTGTAGGCAGTTTCCAAATGTATCCTTTCTATTTGGTCTAATACCACACCTTCAATCCAAGCCCATGCTAATTTGTCTAGATCAGTCTTTTTCGTTGGCGGCATTTTTACCTAAAATATGAGAACACAAATAATACATATTTAATTATTAAATTCAAACACTTCCATATTGCAATAAGAAAGATATTTTTAACAATATAATATTTTCTATTGAAACTTTACAAAATATTTTATTAAATGTATCACATACATTTCAAATTTTATGGATTACATGTTTTATTTCGCGCCACAAGACAATCAGAATACAATTCGGAATAAAAATGAACGAAAGACCAATTAAATTAATTAATTCTGGGAAAAGTACATTATCGAAAGTTTAATGATATAGAAATAATTATAAATAACACAGTGATTTAAAATGCAACACGTACTAAATTAAACATTTTGTGTTTCTCGAAAACCGTGTATTGTATACCTACATAAAAGTACGTTCCTGGCCGTTGAGGTTATGAAAAATGCCGCTGTGAATTTTGTAAGGTACTGTTTTTCTTCTACAACATTATTTGAATGCAAAAGAATTTTATCACGTTTGCGAGCTTACTAAACATGAGCATCTATCGACACTTTTCATGAGCAGATAAAAAAATATCATCAAAACACTTTAACCGTTTGTGGTATACACTAAGCGCCATATGCAATCGGTTTTGGTTTAGATGCGCGTCAAATCAATCGCTAAATAATTTCTCATATCTTACTTAATATGTATTTATAAGAAATGATTTCTTATATTATTTAGTAAAATGAAACAAAAATCTTTTCTGAATATAAAATAATAAATATATCTATATGTCCATAATTGAAATTTCATAAATATATTTTTTTTATTGTATTACTTCTGTATTAATTAACATAAGAAAATTTATCGATAGGAAAATTATCGACCGAAATTAACAACTCAGATATTCTCTAAACTTATAAAATCTATCGTATGATTTTAAAAGTATGCTTAAAAATGTCTGAGGATAAAGTAGGTAAATATTATTTGTTATTTTATTAACAATGAGAATAAAATGATTTACTATGATATATATAATGATATATTTTATTTACAGTTGCTACTGATATTTTACTAGAATTTTTGGAAGTAGCATTTAATCATATTCTGTACTTCAGAGATTTATATCCTAAAGAAATATTTGTGAAGAGAAAAATATATAGCACAATTGTATATGTTTCTGAACATCCAGAGCTCAACGAATACATAAAAAACGTGTTAAATACAATTAGAGAACTAATAAAAGAAGATGAAAATAGTGTTAAAGCTGTGAATCTAGTTTTTTACAACAAGAAGAAAATGCCAATTGAAAAATTTGTATTTGATCTTCTTAAATTGCAAGCAAATAACACAGAGTATGTACTTTAATACAAAATTAACGCTAGACATTACATTGTTATTTAATCAAAAATTTATTTTAGAAATGATCCATATTATTTAAAAACAGAAGAATCTTTAAGAACAATTTGCTTAAAATTATCAATGTGTGAGTCTTATTTGAAACCACTACCAGAAGACTCATCCTTCTCCATTGAAATCCAGACATATGAAACTGCGCATGTTACTTTAAATGAGAATCCTTGTTGTGAAGATTTTCCATGGATTATTGATGAAAATGCACTTGAAATGACTAACAAAAATTTACTTCCACTAAAAACTATTAAAACAGATTGTCTAAACTTACAAATGTATGTTATTGAAGATGAAAGCAATAAATATACAGATTAATTACAATCACAAATAACAATTCACTTTGCATTTATAACATGTTTAGTAAAGAAGTATCAGTTTCAACTATAAAATATCTAATTAGATAAATTTAATACAATATATACAATTTGTACTAATGTAAGTAATATTGTAAAAATTTATATTCTATTCAAAAAGCAAGAAACAAATAATATTGATTATAAATAATACCAGTTATATATTTTTGTATATAATTATATTAAATACTGATATTTTTTGTATAGATAATATTTATATACTTATATCTAGTCGACATTTTTTTCATCTAAAAAAGAATATTACAAATAACTTATTTTTATTTATTTCAATTTTTTGACAAATGTTATTTACTGTATAATATACTTACATATGTATATACCTTAAACATCTAAAATTATAAAAATGCATTTAGACATTGGAACATCGTAGAATGATTAAAATTATTACTATAAATTATTTGAAATGAGCAATTCTATCATGATCATAAATTTCGGCTTAGACCAGCCAGTGACGAACAGGAGTACAGAACGAAAAAGATAGTTATAATTACCCCATTCCCGCCCTACTTATGACGTCATAAACAAAGAACAGTAGCAAAAAAAGGATATATATATTTTTTGTTCTCAAGCGCCACCCCTGTTGAATTATATATATATATTATATTGTAGTTTATATAATTTAAATATGGTACATAGAACATTGGTTATTTTTCGTAAAAAATGAAAATTTATTAATGTATTTTCCTATTCCATTGGGTTAACATGTACATTTTACATAATTTTGGTTTATAAATTAAAATATTATCATCACAAATATGAAATATTTTTATCAATTACCATTAATGTTTGAAGAACGGACATAAAAAAGGTTGTATGCATTCAAAATAAATTTAAAAAAAAACAATTTCTTGATTATCAAAATGTTATTTATTGATAAAATATATCAAAACTTAATTTTTACATGTACCACACTACTTTATATAATTTTACAATAATTTTATTTGAATAATTTACGTTTACGATACGATATTTGTATACGACTGTATACGATTACGATATTATGTTTATGATACTATTTATTTAGAAAGGCTGAAAATACTAATATTTATATTTTTGTTCAAATGTTTGTAACTTCTCTCCTTTATTAGTTTTAATTCCTTCATCATGTTTTCGTTTCACTTTTCTCATTACTCTTGAATCACTTATTTCATTTACATTATCCACAATTAGAAACAGATTAATAGCAAACAGTAATGACAACTGCTTATTCAGTCCAATTTAAGATACGAATTAGGTAACATATACCCTATATCATTTATTGTTAATGTTAGAAATTAAATCAATTATAATAGCATTTTCACTCTTATTTACTGGTACTATATAACTTTTATGCATATTTACTATGGAAACAATTTTATTTCTTAAACAACACATAGCTTTTTATATCCTATCTTCATTTATTTTTGTAAATTGGATTAATGTTTATAGGTGTTTATGAATGTGAATATATACATAAATGTTACCAAGATTTTCATTTGGTTAAATTTTTGTTTAGAATTTAATTATTACAACATAAAAGTTTAACAACCTAACCTAATATTTTTAAAATAAAACATTACATATATCTTTTTCTTTGTAAATTAGATGCATATTAAAAACCTATTATTAAATATCTAATATAGGTCTGAATTGTGCATTTTAAATAAATTTACATAATTATTTCCAGATATATGCTCTATTAAAAAATTAAGGAAATATTATCTTTTTTTTCTTTTAATTATTATGCACATGTGTTATATTAGTTATAATAATTATAATAACTTTTACTTCTTGTCAATAACAATGAACACATTTACTCATATATATTGTGCAATATAGAGCAATATATTATTTGATGTGCTAAATATCTTTTCAACCAAATTTAAGTATAGAAAGTAGCACAAAACAACGTACGTGAAATTATCATAGTACTTATTTCCTGTATTTTTATGTTCCATATAATACTTAAAGCAAATTATACATTTAAATTCTAAAAGTAACGTTTTGAAATAATTTTTCTGTAATGTAGATATGTTTTTAACATTTAAGAATCATGTAATTTAGTAAACAATGGAAATTAGTTTAGTAGATAATGGAAATGTAGTTTGGTAAATAATGGAAATCATAATTGTGAGGTACATTTTAAATGGTATTGTTCAAATCAAGACGTGACCTTTTGCTATGGACTGTAGCAGCATCATCTTCAGAGTCACCATTAGCAGATAAAAAATCACGTTTTCTATCGGCATGCTAAAAAAATACAATAATTAATATACACTATAAGATATATACTGTAATAGCAGTAAATAAATTTGAAGCTTAAAATATCTAACAAAAAAAAAATTTCATACATTTTTATCCCAGTGTTGATGAAGGTACCTTAGCAATATGGTTGTTTTTTCTGTGACTATAACTGAAAATGATAATTATGTTTATAGTCATTTATGTTAACCTTTCCTATATAAGTCTATATTAATTTATAACTCACTTTGCTCTGAAGGATGATCTTTTGTGGGAAGATATACTGAAGGTTTTTTTACACAAGTTCTATTTCCACTGTCTGTATGAAAGTTAGCAAAGTTCTTTTCATTATATGAAGGCAGACCCTTTAAGAACTCAGCGACAGACTACAAACAAAATAAATCAAATTATGATTATATTAGACAATTAATAATTTATTTATTTCTTAATAAAAATTAACCTAAAAGTGTTGTCTTTCCTTAACAAAGGAATATCAGTTTAAAAAAATATTTACAAATTATATATTTCTTTCTTTGTTTTCTATTACATCTATAAGAGAGATTAAACATTTAAAATAATTTAATTCATAATATAAATAATGGAGTTGCAGTAATGATATGTGGAAACTAATTATTTTTGACAGCTGAAATATGAAAGATGATTATTTTCTTTCACAACATTCCAATACAAATTGTATATAACCTATAAAATAACCAGCTCATAACAAGGAATAATTGTTATAAAATACAAGTAAAAAATATCTTACCATTTTCTCTGACATATCACAATCACCCGAAATACTTTTATTTCTCGGTGGAAAGAAACCAATCTTTAAAACTCTCTAATTAATACGAAGTCAACTGCCATCGTTTCGCGAAACTGTCTAGAAACTGTCACAGAATCCAAACTGTCTAGATCCTATTTCTCTTGCTAGTTAATGACGTAAGAAGTAACAAAACTTATTTCACAGATTCCAACTGACAAGATAGAAAATTCGTAAACATTTAATATATTATAAAAACATATTTTAAAAATCAGAATACGTAATTTCTCTTTTCACATAGAATATTTGCAATTTTAATTATTATTTTATTAGTAATGACACTACAATGTAGATGTTACTAGATAATAATTCAGTGCACAAAATATAATTTTTAAATAATTTGATACGATTAAATCATAATAAAATTTTATTACCATTTTTCTTCTTTTTTCTTTAATTCTGAAAAACTTCAAATGAGTAAAATCTGAATGATGTTATTGTCATGTTTGACATTTCTCGATGTAAACATAACCTAAAGAAATCATTGATATTGAAATGAAACTACTTATTCTTTAAAGTCTAATATAATGTATAAAAAAAAATGGCAGAATTTAAGAAAAATTGATGATGATAGTTTTGAACTTGAACCAAAAATAATCAAAAAGACACGATGTTTTTCAAGAGTTAATTTTACACACATAGCATTTGATTGGAATGAGGAATATTTTGCTTCAACTGATACAGCCGGATATTTATATTACATCGACCTAGTGAATAATTGCCCTTCCTATCAAATATTAGGAAATATTGGGCAAGTAACATTTATAGCATTTAGTCCTATAAATAAATTTGAGATATTAGTTGGTCTCATTACAGCTGATATAAAAATATTGAAAGTAAATGTAAATATTTCCCAATCTTGCTTGTTAATTGCTCATAAGTTACCACCATTACAAGTTTCCTTTTACAAAAAATATTGTTTAACTTTTTCACGTAAAGAAGTTATAATATGGTGTTTAAATTCATATACTAAAGTTCATCAATTAAGAGCTAATACAAAAGATTTTGTAATAAAAAAGGCAAGTCTTTCAAATTTAGGACAGATTGTTGTGCTATATGAAAATGATAACTTGCAAATATGGAATTTTAATCAATTGGAAAATAATGTTAAAATAGACACAAAAATATTTGGTATACGAAATATTAAAGACTTTGTCTTCACACAAAATGGAAGAGCAATGATCATCAGCAGTATTCAAAATAAAATTATCATTCTAAATACATACAACTGGAACTTAATAAAAACTTTAACTTTACCAGAGAATTTTATTGGAGTCAAGTATTTGTCACTTGTACCATTACCTTTGGATGGTGGAGCAAGCAGTATAATAGCATGTATTTCATCAAGTTGTAATCTTTACTTCTTTGATCTTAACCAGTCTTGTATTGTTAATACTCTACAAGCTATTAAACCAATAAAAAAAATTGCAATTTCTTCAAGTGGCAGATATATAGCATATATAGAAAAGGAAGGTCATTTGAAATTAATAATTACTGAAAAACTATTTTCAGAGAAGTGTGAGTCTTTGCAAAAGATAAAAGAATCACATAGACCACTTGCACATGGAATACATGATCACTTACAATGTGTTAAACAATGTATAAAGCATGAATTACGATTAAAAAGATTGATACTTATTTTAAAAGAATTTGGAGAATATCCTGAAAAATACCGCATATTAATATGGTCAACTATTTTAAATTTACCAGCTAATAAAAGTGCATACAATGCTTTGGCTAATAAAGTTGCCAGTATAAATTTTACTTCAGATATCTTAAAAAACTATTCATTAGCAAGTAGAAGCAAACAAATATTGTTAATGACAACAGTTCATTGTTTAATAGAATGGTGTCCTTTATTAATACAATGTTCATTTTTACCAAATATAGTTTTTCCATTCCTTATAATTTTTCAGGTAATAAAATAATTTAATGTACAAAATAAAACAGATGGAATATAAAAAAAAATTAATCAGTTTGCTTTTATTATAGAAAGATCTATTGCTTGGCTTTGAACTTATTTTAAGTATATTCTTGAACTATTGTCAAAAATGGTTCGAGTATCATCCTTTACCACCATTAAATGTGTTAGGTATAATAGAAAATATTCTTCTACAAGCAGATCCATTTTTATTGAATACTTTTTGTGAATATGGAATAACATCCAGTGAATATGCATGGCCACTTTTGAACACTGCAATGAGTGAAGTTTTGTCTGCAACTGAATGGTTAATTTTATGGGACCATCTAATATCCTTTAAAAAACCGTCACTTTTATTGATGTGTGTTGTTGCATACAGTATATGTTCTCGGGAAATTATCATTTCCTCACTGCAAACGCAAGAAAATATTAAAAAATATTTTCTTAAACAAGGCCATATTGCAGCACAAGAATTATTAAAGGTTGCTCAACAACTTGACAGTGATACACCACTAAGAATACATCCCAATCACTATCTTAGGTGAAACAATATTTTTTTTATAACAATATTTTATATTGTTGTATTAAACACTCTATGAAAGCTATACATTTTGTTTTACAGAAATGAAATAAGAACATTGCCTTCCACAGGTCCATATCCACCATTTATGATACATGATTTTCCAAAATATTTAACAGACGAAATCCCTGTTCTTGAATTAGAAAAATTAAAAAGAAAAAGAAGAATTATGCGTGATTATAATCATAAAACTATGAAAATTGCAGAAACAAATAGACTGAAATATGAAACAAAAGCTTTTATGAATCAAATTCACCAAATGAGATTAAATGGTAAAATTGTACATTCTTAAGGAATTATGATTACATATAAATTGTAAGAATTTAAATGTATTTGTTTTAGAAGCAGAGAAGTGTTTCAAGGAATACTTATCTGATATAAATTACGAATTACAAAGAGAAGTACAACCAAGAACAAACAAAATTGAACATAAACATATTTGTGATCAATTTGATGACATTCTACACTTAGATTTAGACACTCCAAGTGATGAAGATACCATACATTCAAAAAATAATAAAACAAAATATCATCAATTGCAGCAAGATGTGAACAATTTAGAGTTTGAAGTGCAAGGTTTTCTGAATTCATTAAGATCTCAAAAATCAAAAGTAAGTAACACCTAATATACTTTTACATTATACAATAATAAAAAAAAAAAATGTATTTTCTTTTATATCACAAAATAAAGATTTTAATGTAATAAGATGTTATATAATAATTAAAACTATGCTGAGCTATTTAAATTATTATAAATCTATTTTACGTTTTACAGAGTCGCGTTATATGAAACCTAATCTAACCTAAACTAAATTTAAAAAAAATAGGATTACATTTTGCGAGTGCAATTTAAAAAAAAGTTAATTATCTATTTAATTGACAAAAGATATTTTTAATTACTTTAGCTATGTGTATAAATCAAATACATATGACAAAGTTTTGAAAAAGTATCAATAATATTGTATTTTATTAGGATAAAAATTAATCATATTGAATAAATGAGTGAACAGGTACATCAAGTTTTTCTCTTCCCTTTAATCCGGTTAATTCAATTATTGTTAAACATTCAACCACTTCAACTGCATGTGAATGTAGTAAATTTATTGCTGCTGCCATAGTACCTAAGGATATTACCAAAGTTATTTTTTCAATTCTATATTAGAAATATTAATAAAAGAAACCATTTTCCTATTATTATCTTACCTCCTGTTGCTAATAAATCATCTACAATAATTACTCGTGTTCCTTCTTTTATATAATCTTGTTGAATTTCAAAAATTTGCTGCATAAATTAAATTTATAACATTAATAATGACATTAAAATAACATGAATAACCTATCAATTTTATTTGATATACTAACCTCGCTATATTCACTGGTATATTTATATTGCACAGTCTTTCCTGGAAGTTTTCCTTTCTTCCTAATTGGAATAAAAGGTTTTCCCAATGTCAGGCATATCATAGGTCCAAAAAGAAAACCTCTTGAATCTAAACCCACAACCAAATCAATTTCCATAAATAAGATATGATCCACAATTAAATCTTTTAATGCTTGTAATGCTACAATATTACGAAATACTCCGAATATATCTCTGAAAATTAATAAATTATAATATACTAATAACACACGTATGCTATATTTAATTGCAAAGTAACCTATATACAATTCAATTTTAATGGATGATATTTCAATATGATATTGTAAAATTTTATTCTATTTTTTGCTGAATTTTATAACATACCGAAATATTATACCAGGCTTAGGAAAATCGGGATAACTGATAATTGCATTTCGTACCAATTCAATTTTCTCACTTTTATTCATATTTGATAGATGACTGTAAATAATATAATTTATGTTATGCTATAATTTCTTACGATATTTACTATATCCTGTTTCGATACATTTTTAAACTGAAATATTTACCTTCTTAAATAAAAATTTTATACGAATGAATTTTTGTATAAAATAGACTACACTAATTAGTAACTAGACTATAAGGTTCTACTTAGAACTCCTCCGTTGTTTTTTATCAATTGCAGTGTTACCGTCAAAGTATTGAAATTGTTATAATGTTATATGGTGGGAACTGCAATGAATTAAAATAAAGTATTCTGTTTCTAAAGTAAAAATACCAATATATTTTACATTAGTCCATTTGCTAGAAATAAAATTTGAATATTTACAATATATATACTTTTAAGATTATTTTTTGTTTACCTTTGAATATTATCAAAACCAGTAATAATAGAAAGTACAAAAATTATATAATGTAGAACAGAAGAGCTTCAAGCACTAAATACTTCTCCACTGCCGAGGTTCGGCATCGCAATGCAAAGACGGTTGTATCCCTGAGGCTGTGAATTAAATTCCGCAGTACCCACAAGACGCTTAGCTGGAGCGATTAGAGGGGGAATGTTAGGTTTGTCGCGTTGAGTCGACATAGAGGGGATCGTGCTGGTCGTTTAGCGAAGAAGGAAAAGGAGCTACCGATGACCGCTGGCTGCCAGTTCGTATTTTATATTACGTTTGTGTCTGTGACAATACTGTCGGAACATGTGCATCTTATTGCATGTAGTATGTATTTATAATTACATATGTAACATATACAAAGAAAGAGCACAGGACATGTATAACTGAATGAGACAAAGAGAGAACAAGCGATGAACTGCAAAGCATTATCGCAGGTACATATGTATATGTAACGTCAGTTATGAACATAACACATCAACACAATATATTATTAATGCATATTAGTTAACATAGGTATACTTAATAATTTGAAGAGAGTATTACCCATAATTTGATGAAATACTTCGGAAAATAAATGCAATTGTTTCTAATTAATTTATTTCTTAAATTTTGTATTAAAACTAGTTTTATCATATTTAGGCCCATTTTTAACAGGATATTACAACTGACGACTGATTTCTTTATGAGTATAAGAGTATAAAAATTGATGTAAAATTAAAATTTATTATACAAAATTGACTTAACTTTTTATAAAATTGATAATTATTATTATGTATGATATCTTACATTGAATTCGCAAATTATTCTTGCATGGTATAATTATAAAAAAAACTATTTACACAATGCGATACATTCTAAAATTAATAATATCTTGCAACAAAAAGCATTCAATAAACATGCTTTACAATACAAAATTGTTATAAAACGATTTCACTCTTTAAAACTTATAAAAAATATTTACATTTTCATATATGCAAACATCGAACGATAAAAACATTATAAAACTATATGAATTAATGTTGTTATGTGATATCACTTCCTTATTAAAATGTTACGTTCATACATTGAAATCAACTTTTCTCCCATCGTATATTATTAATCAGAATAAATTATTATGGCAGTGTAGAAATTGGGTGTCTTGAATATTCTTCTAATGTTATAATAATATGTTCGTATCACTCGTTTGACTGATTCAATTATATCATGTTTTCATTTACTCTTAAAATTCTTACGATGTATTACTCTATTTATTATTCTATTTAGAATTATTGATTTTATGACTAGTAACTCATAGAAACAATCTTATAAAATAAGATCAAATGCAACATTCTTCACTCCAACCGAAACTATTTGATTTCAACATTTTTAAATAGTCAACAACAATAAGCTGTAATTATTTACAAAATGAGAAACATGGAATTATACTCGGTGGAAATGAATTAAATTTTTGTTGTAGCTAATAATTTAATGTAATGTGCTTTATGAGTTATTTCGAATTCCTGTGCAGGTAAAAAACATTGCGTCTGTATTCTAGGATGTCTCACTCTTTTTAGAACACTTCTACTAATTACTGCAACCGTGATTAGAAGAGCGCAACTAGCTCCAATTATCGCTAAAACAATTATCTCCGTATTTTGTTTAAATCCTTGTACTTCAACGCAACGTAATCTATCTCGATTATCTATAAAGTTAGCGATAACATCTTCTTCGTTGACTTCGTCAAGACTTGCGCAAACTTTATAGTGACCAGGCAATAACACAGCTAGTGTCACAAATGTTAAACTGCAGTTTAGTTTTTGTTTATGTACTGCGGATTCAGCGTCGAAAACGACGACTGAGAGTTCGCATTCAGGTAGATTCGATTTTTTTGAAATCGATAAGCTGACGTCGACGTGCAAGAAACCTTGATCGGATACATTCACATAAACTCCAGTTATTCTAGTATCTAATGATGCAGAAGCCTCTGACATTACACTTTCTTGATTTTGCTGCAATTCTCGTTTGGATTCTTCTAGAGTGATTACATCACTGCAACCTAAACCCAAGAAAACGTCATCGTAGCTACTCGGTACCAGAAGTACGACACAGTAACGATATTTGTGGCCTGGTTGTAAATGTAACGATGCAGGTATAGCAACTGGAAGAGAACAGGGATCTCTCATCATACGTGAATCGCAATGAAGAGAACTGGAATCTGTTTGAACCTCACTGTCGCCAATGGTTTCGTAGACAATTAAGGTGTCGCATGTATATCGTTCTGTACATGGTTCTACATGCCACAAGAGGTTTATACCAGTGGATCTCTCATAGTGAAATTCTTTCAATGTTAATTGAGCATCAGCAAGAGGCAGTTTGGTCATGATAGGTGGCGTTGGCTCACCACAAAGGAGACTACCGGGGGAAACTTGTGTCAGTATACCGTTTTCCAAAGCAGGTGGTGTTGCACAGACCGCTGAAGACTTATCTTCCTCGTTCAAACTAGAATTGCTTAACCAATTAGCGAATTCTAGAAGCGTACAATCACAATTCAATGGATTGTCAGCTAAGGAAAGTTTTTTAAGTCGCAACTTGGACGTTGGTACATCGCTAGCCACCATTGTGATATCGTTATCATCGAGACGAAGATCTTGCAGACTTTTTAATGGTACTACCAAATCAGCGGTCAGAGACCGCAGAAAATTATGCGTTAAATCCAGTGTCGTCAATTTTTCCAAATGTGCTAGTGAAGAACTAGATACTGCAACGATGCGATTATTAGCTAAATCAAGTCTGGTGAGAGTTGATAAATACTTGAACGAATGATCTTCCAGTACATCGATCTATGTAAACAGAAAAATGAAACAGTCCACAATACTTATTTTCTTATATATGCGATTTTCATGGAATTCCGACATGAATTACCTGATTGTGGCTTAAGCTGAGATAAGTCAAATTCTTCAAACCTACAAGGGCTCCTTGTTGTATGTTTACTAGCTCATTTTCCGATACAGCAAGGGAGCGTAATCGCGGCATTCGAGGAAGAAGATTTGGACCCATTGGACCCAGTAACAGATTATTAGACAGATCAAGTTCTTCCAAACTTTTAAGGCCTCTAAGCGCCGATAATGCTGATACACTTAAACGATTACCACGCATTCGTAACGAACGTAACAAAGGCAATGCTGCAAAAGCTTGAGGCGATAATTGCGACAATAAATTGTCGCATAAATCTAAGTACGTCAAGTTTGACGATCCCTGAAACGTTTAAATATATGTCTGTTTCCAATTAATTATTTTACGATCCACTGATCATTTCTAGCTTTGTATTTAGCTTCTTCTTGAATAATACTTCAATATACATATTTTAAAAAATTCTCGGATTGTACCTTGAAAGAATCGGCCTCCAGCGTCTTAATTTCTAGCTTTGTATTTAGCTTCTTCTTGAATAATAGTTCAATATACATATTTTAAAAAATTCTCGGATTGTACCTTGAAAGAATCGGCCTCCAGCGTCTTTAGTTTATTTTGGGACAGATCCAACCTTTCTAGACCAACCAAATGAGACAAAGCTATCGTGGGTACGGAATCTAATAGATTGTTTGGAAGTCCAAGAGCTTGAAGTGGTTTTACCAGACCAACAAAAGCGTTTTCATGGACGCGTCTCAATTCTCCGGTCGAAACAACAAGTCCATGCAAGGCGACATCCTCCAAAAAGTGAGCCGGTAGCAATGAAATTCCCGTCACTGTTACATCCAGAAGAGAGATCGTTCCTGGACGACTAAATCTCAAGTGTCTGCTGATAATCTGTGTAAAAGAAATGTACCAACGTTTCAATAATTTAGTAATTAAATCAATCGATGCATCGAGTTTACGATACCATCTTATCATGGTACCTATTATATCTTATGGTGACAAGTATAAAAATCACTCGAACGAGTAAATCGCGTGACCAATCTAATTAATTATTCTGTATTGCATAATGAGGAGGGTGGTCATTTAACTCGCAGAGGTATTGTGAGACAGGATATTCGTCGAAGTAACTGGTAACGGGATATTCAACGCAATGCAGCGAACATGTACGAGATAGAAGAGAGGTCGCACAATGGTCTCCTGGACAATACACGCGGCTTGTATTTCATTGGCAGGCTATACACCCACGCTTGCCTGACGGATGGTTAAAAAAAACCACTGACCTCGATGATATAAAAAAATAATAAATCTGCAATAGATTTGACTATTTATAACGAATGTTTTTCAAGAAATAACGAATAATTCTTTGTTATATAATAATCATAGGACAATAAATGGTTTTGAAAAAGGAAATATAGCTTTTATATCTTCGTTCCGTAACTTTAGAGCATAATTAAAATAAATACACATCTAATTGTCGTTAAATTAATAAATCTAGGGATCGTTCTGTATACTTATGTACGAAGCAAAATATTTCTCGAAGAAAAATTAACCTGCAGTGCCGTTCTATCACCAGTGCATCTTAACGTGTGTGGAAAGTCGCAGGAACACTCGACACCCGCTTTTGTAATATTTGGACACTCCCAAACCGTGTCAGACGAGGGCGAGAATGCGTGGGACGAGTCTTGAACATTTTCTTCATCCAGACTTTTTGCAGCATTTGACGAATTAACCGTTATTTTCTCAACTTCGTTTACGCTAGATATGGTTGTGACCACCGACGCCGAGGTGGTCGTAGAAATCACGGTGGTCGTTCCATCCCCCAGGAAATCGTTCATCGTTGCGTCCATGCACGACGCTATCGTTGTTAACAACAAGATTAGCGAACATCGTGACGTCGACAGCATTCTGAAATATAATTATACATAAGAAAGATATATTATGGCACTATAGATAACCTTTGACTTGGATCAATATTTAATCTAATTTTAGAAAAGAAACGAGCACGAATACTGGCGCGAATAGTGCCGACTGAATTTCGTCCTGTTCCTATAGCTGTCTGTCTTCTCATCTCTGTACTTTTATTCACCTTGACTAACCCAATTTCCATCTCCCGATCACAGGAAAATTTACAATTTAGCTTTCAATATGAACAACCAATAATCCGTCGAATAATTCGCGTAACATAAAATCATCGGTAGAACAGGTCTAAACTCAATGTCCCATTCTTATTACAAGGAATTATGGCTCATCACGCGAAACGACTTAGACAAGTTGATAGAGTTGGATCGAAGATTGCAACAGCAAACACGTACGAGAAATATAGAACACGGCTTGAATCTACTGCTTCCTACATATCTTAGGTATTAATCCGAGATATAATTTTATGAACTCATTGTAAATCGCCCGAGTTGATGGAGTACATTTTCAGATACCGTAATCTGGTGAAGAGACTGATAGTTTGCCACGATCAAATGGTACAAACGCAAAAACGAGACCTGATAAAACGAGTTCTGGATTGCACGGTCGGCCGAATGCTGGAATACAAACAAGCGATCGTTAACTTGAACTACAACGATTATCAGTTTCGTAATTTAACTTTGTGAAATTTATATTTCGTCTGGAGAAGAATATACATATATACCAATAAATATTCAGATGGCCCGACGATTTTATGAATGAGTTAAAATATACGCCTGACGATGTGGAGATTCTCGTGTCCGCAGTTGGCAAGGATATCATACAGCAACGCAGGGAACGTATCCAGAAGTTGATAGAAGACGCTTACAAAAGTTACATACTAACTTTTTGGCGAAATGGAGCATTTACTAAAACAGTCTAATTTTATTTTAAACGTTAACAGAGGAGGAAGAAGTCGAGAGCAAAGGCCTTTCTGCGGTGGATGTAATCGAATCCGTGGAAAGCTCACCAAAATTGCGAAGAAGGAAAGTTAAAGAGAAAATTTCGACGATATCCGAAGGACCGTCGATCGTTCAAGAATTACCGGAAATAGTGGCTGCTCGTGAAGCTCGGGAAGCTCGGGAAGCTGCTGAACAAGCTATGCAAGATGCAATATTGCTCATACAGTGTCACGAAAGAGCAAGAATGGGTCGTTGCATCGGAGCCGAAGGTGGATTGACTCTGCGAACGAATTAGCGTATATTATTCGTTGTTTTAATTAGAGTATCTGAATATCCTAGTGCAGCGAATGTATAGTTACAGTAAGAAAGTAGAGACGGGAGAAATTGTGCCAAAAAAGTTGCACAAAAATACGTATATGAATGCTGCCAAGACGATACAGCGAGCCTGGAGGACATATGCGGCAAGGAAAAAACTGAAACAGCGAAACGAGCGTACGGAAGAGTTGCTGGGCATGACTATACCTAGCTGGAAATCTCAAGAAGTTCTTATAAAAGACAAGCAAAATTTTCAGAAGAAGTTAACACTGATGACAGCGTTTGCTGAAGGAGTCGCGAGTGCAACGGAGAATAAGCGTGCAAGGGTAATCTTTCGAATTAACTCAGTATATACCTTAACTTACGCTACTCTTATAGTTAATGATTTGTACTTTCTGGTATTTGAAATTCGTTAATAGACACTCACGAAAATTTTAACTCTGACATCGTTTCGATTACAATAATTGCAAAATAATTACAAATAAATGAAATTATTATTTATTATTTAAGTTACTGAAAATCAGAGGTCCCGGTTTGATGGAAGATATTACGGACGAAATACGAGAATGGTTCATCGTGTGGTACGACGAAGTAGGGCATTTTTACGTGTATCCAGCTGCACATTTAGGTGGTAGCGTGCTAATCGCTACCGGACAAATTATAACACCTCAGGAGTATCTCGTGGAGAAAATATCGAAACGGACAGCAACAGAGAAATCGGCAGCCATAGTGGATAAAAAGAAGAAGAGGCCTCCTTTGATACAAGAAACGAAGGCGTTTACTCTTCTTAACCAGGCTAATCAGGACTTCATCAGTAACTGGAGTTTCCGACATCATTTAAACGATTATCAAGCAAAAATCTATCACGACATAATCAAGAATGAACTGTGTTACGAGCTTCAATTGGAAACGAGGAAAATAGTCGATGAATTGATGAGGCTAGAACTACAAACGTTAAACAAAGCACTGAAAAAAGACTATGCAGCTGACAAACGAAAACTCGATATACCTAGTGACAGAAGTAAGTTGCCTAACTTTTATTTAATACGATATTAAATAAATGTTGGAAAATAAATTGCATCATAAGAAAGCACAGAAGATACCAATCAAGCTGTAATTACTCATTAACATAACTATTGGCACGCATTAAACTGACCCTTTTATAGCTACGAGAGTAGGCGTTCAGTCACCAGAGTTTAAGTAATATTCAAGATAAGCAATAACTTGCAAAAGATTTCTAATTCTGTCGCTAAGAACAATATACCTACTTAAAATTAATTATCTTTTCATAACATTGAATTCTTTTTTCAAACGAATGAGCAGGCAAAGGAAGAAGACAGGGCCAAGGGAAAAAGAAAAGAGCTCCGCTAGGCGATGAAACCGTGGAGGATAATTTCAAAGAATTAGTCAAAGCCAATATCATCAGAGATTATCCCAGAACCTCTCTCAAAGATTGGATAGGAGATCTTTCGTATCAAAACCATGAAGCAGCTCGCGAATTTCGAGATTACAAACACCGACTGGGTGAAATTAGACAGATAATCATGGAGTACTGCGTGCTTCCTCTGAGTTCGAAAGAAATTCATCAAGTCGCGCCTTTAATTAGATCTCTTTGCATCTGTGGCCTTGCTCGACATGGGAAAAGTTTTCTGGTTAACGCAATCTGTTCCGAGGTTTCTATTACTCCTTACCTCAATCGTACATAAAAAGGTACAAAGTCGATATTAATAAATTTAAAACAGGTCGAGGCATTGCTATTCGACATGACGCCAACGGTATTGGTAGACAAATATACAGGGCGAAGAAACGAGCGCAAGTTGATCAATATGATATCAAGGATAGCTCGAGAATACGCTCCTTCTGTGATTTTCATCGACAACGGTGAAAAACCATGGTCAAAACACGTACCTCCAGACGAGAGACACCTGAAACCGAAACGATTTGCGCGATATTATCCTAATCTGGTGAAGAACATCAAACGTGGCGATCAGGTGACTTGATAGAAAATTACCTCGACAGAGTGTAGGTGTTCTCAAATGTCATAATACATTTCCTGCATTTCACCCGTGGTTACTTGAGAAAAAAAGTACTTTGGTTTCGCAACCAAACGGGCTTACGCACAGTGCCTCACCTAAACTGGCGAGGAATGTTAAAGTTGGTGATCTGGTAGCGCCCACTTTATGAAATTCTTGATATTCCTGTTTCAACTCTTTCTCCGATATGAATGAACCACCTCAATAAGCTAGCCGGGGACTTCCCCTCTTTCTCTTACCCAAACGTCTCGATCGTTCGAAGCTGGTCATCAATGAAACACCTCCTACCGAACGACCGGAACGTAGGTGGTATCGAGTTAACGTAGGATTTAGAGTGTCGGTGATTCCGGACAGATACTGTTACTCATTGGCGTAGAAATTCTACGATAGAACATTAATATACGTTTTAATAACGGTGGTAATCCAAATAGAGAAATTGCCAGCAATCACTCTTTCGCTGAAACGAATCTGATCATGATACTTTGAAAAGAATACTCGATGAATTTCTGCAGTTGTTCGATACACTGGAACGCGATATTTTTCAGATCCTATTTCTCACGACCTCCTCGGAACCATATAAAGCAACAAGACCCTTCATCAGGATCCACAACAAGTTCATAATGATTCCTCTCACGGACTACAACACGTTGTACATGTTTTACAAAGATCTGTTGATGAAGTATCACGGAGTTGATCGCAATATCGATGTTTCCACAATGGCGAAGATATCTGTGGGCATTCCGTTGGAATTCATAAGAAACGCGGTGGAAAATGTCTTAAATGTTCGTCGAAGGATCACTTTGAAGTTCAAGCCATTGGCCGAGCAAGAGATCGTGGAAGAGGTATTGAAGTACGAACCTCCACAGAAGAAAACGTTATCCGAACTCGCAAAATTTGAAAATCGAACACCACTTGGTAGGATGAGAGCCAGGCTATTGGCCACAGAGAAAGCAACGCGCGAGCTTGCTCAAAAACAGAAGAAAAATCGTAAATGAGAAAATTATTGAAACAGAACAAGTGTAAAATAATGTTAAATAGAAGATAACGATAAAAATTTTCCATTCTCCAAAGAACCCATCGCGAGAGGGGGAGGGAATGGAAATCATAGAAACTTGCCAGGTAAAACGTGGGATGTAGGCGTATTAAGAGAGAAGGCTATAGCACTATTAACGAGTCTTTTTCCTCGATGAAAATGTTCCATGGCTGCTGGCTGTTAGGCAATGAAGGAAAGCTGAAGTTTAAGATAAATTAGAAAGAAAACAATCCGAGATGGACATGCTAGACACAAGTATCCGTGTTCGACGTTCAAAGACGGTGACCTTTCCGGGAGAAACGTCGTTGGAAGAAGCATGATCATCGATTGAGCGATTTCTTCTTTCTTTCGTATCACGATTCGCCAACGTCCGTGTCCGGACGTGAAACTGGTTTTCGTCTTCGTGGGATGCTAAAAACGATCATCGAAAAACAGGAGACAGATATAGGGAGGAATATCATAAGGAACTATATAAACTCACTTGTATTATAGCTTCCGTTGTCGAATTTTTAAAGAATTCATCTTCGGTACAATCTAATTTGCAACAGTAATTTGGCTTTTATATGTTTGCTCAAAAAGAAATGAAATATAAGGAAGTTTTACGAAATAACTTAACTAAAGCAAAAACGTAATCAATGTTTCAAAAGAAATGAATGAATCCAACAAAAAGCTGAATATATCACGTATATTCAATAGACTTTATGTAAATACTCACACATCCAAAGTGTTGAAGTTAGAAAATTAAATATTATTTTAATGAAAAATATATGTAAATTATTCGCTGGTTTATAATATTGGCTTATAATACAACTAATGTTACAATCCATTTTTTCCTAACTTCTGTATTAATTCATCGATAGATGAATGAAAATTCTGAAAAAATATAGTAAAGATAGATTAAAGCGTAGAAAAATGTTATTGCTTTGAACGGAACAAAAATACGAAGGATTAGAGGTAAATAGAATTTCATCCACTTCCAAAATTCATTGTCAGAGACTTCTACACATATACACATACCTACAGCAATGTGTGTCCCTTTGATCCGGGTTTTACGGCCCCTGCGACTTCTCTTCACGTGCGTCACACGCACACGCGGCTGGTACGTCGTAGCACTCACGCAGGCGCACTCACGCATCCAACCCACGTTGCCTGTTGCACGCAGGCAACACACGTAACGCCAAGAGTAAGCACAAGCGGACCAATCGCAGGCTCGCCAAACCGAGAGAGCTGTCACTCGGCCATAGGCGCGGATCTGCTTCAACTTCGAAACTATGTACTCTGGACCACGTTGTCCGACACTTTTTTTTATTCAAAATAGACAAAAGGAACAACAACACCCACGCCAGTGATGTGTGTTCGTGAGTGCATCTTTTGATTGGATCTACTAGAAGCCTTACGTTTTGTCTCTCGCAATTATACCGTTGAATTGCACCGTCCCGTCTCTTACGGAGAGATCTCGAGTCGAAGATCACTCGTATTGTCGTAAAACGCAAAAGAAGAACGATGATACGACGACGTCGTGCTAGCACACACTGTGCACGAAGCATGAGGTGGGCACTCGTGCCAAGAAAACGTCGCCTCCGCCGTGTCCACACGGTGGGGACTCTGCCAGTGCGTCCGTCTCTGTGTCTCTCGGTTTCCACATAGCATAGCCATGTATGGAACACGGGACGACGTTCTCTCTCCCGGCCCTTACGCCCACTTGCACCGCTGCTGCTGTTTCTCTGGCAGCTATCCGCCTCGTTCTCATAGACCTGGCAAGTATCGTCGAACCGATGTCATCGTTACAGGTTGCTTGCTCCGTCGACGTTGTCCGTCAACCTTGTCTTTCTTGTCCATCAACCAGCTTATGCAGACTGAGACCTGGTAGCGAGATCGCACAACGGAAATTGAAAATACGCTGCCGCGCCATTTTCGAATCTGACGCTCATGCTCAAAAATTATCGGGGAACGAGATTTTCTGTAACTTACGTAAAATTTATGCCCAATATTCCGAATGTTGAATACAAGCCTTGGATAATATAGGAGAGATAAGGATATAGAAAGCCATCTACAAATAGATTATTCAAAAGCATTATCAAAGGAATCCAGAAAGAAAAATTTATAAATATTTAATATTAAATTTACGATTGTATTCTGATATGAAAATATGTAATATCAATGAGAAGAAAAAAATCAAGATTATTATTTTAGCTTACCAGATACGGATCTCACCTATTTAATGCCTTATAGTATTGTATCTATTGTTCATTATCAATGTATCGAATTTGTTTACTGTGCCACTAACAATTTCACAAGACGTTTTCACATATGACCATGCTTCGTCTGTGTATACAAGGCGTTCTGGAAGACGGAGAGAGGATGAGAAGGGAACAAGACTCTGAAGGTCTGCGGGATCTTCATGAAATGCTTTTTGATGCTGGAAATCGGTCTGTCGCCGTTACGAAATCACGTAAAACCGGGCCTTTACGCCCACGCAAGTAGGACTGGCGTAGTTAAGGTAAAAGAAAGTTTGACTTCTTTAACGAGCCGTATGTTTATAACATACTAAGCAAAAAGTAGGACTGAATAATATATGCAATATTAATTCTATTTTTAAAAATAATGTTTACGTGTTATCGTGTGCATTAGAATAAAAGTTTATATCATGTTATAAACGGAATTGCATAATTCTTGTAATATGATTTTAATAAAAATAACGCTATATATTCGACCAATACTTTTTTTCCTATATTTCACCAATTTGTACATGTCTTCATAATAACCGGAAGTTTCTTTACATTTCAGTTCTCCACAATTCTCCATCAGTTCTCCGTGATGAAATCTTAGTGTTGTTACAACTTTTTAACAATTAAATATCAGGGAATTCCAAACATAAAAATTACATTAAGACTACAAAAATTATTGAAAAATCTTTGCACTACCTTCAATAAAAAGAAATAATCTTTGTTCAGAAGAAAATCTAAATGGATAATTTTTAATAGTTCTATTTTTCAGTAGAATTCACATAGTTAAAAAAGAAATAAAATTTATTAAATACGTGATAAATTTTTATATAATTTAAATAACAGAAATGTTAATATTTTAACTTTCAATGCTAGCACAAAAAAGACATTATCATAATTACCGACAATGGTTACTTTCGAAAAATAACGCGAAAAGTAATACAATTCCGTGAAAGTTGTCTATTCACACGATACTATCGAAAGGACCGTAAATAGTTACACAAAAAACTGCATCGACTGAACCGGCTGCATCGCAGAACTAGTTGATCGACCTTTGCTCGTAACTTTATGTTTTTGTACTTTTATGTGCAAATACATACAAAAAGAATGGTCCTGAATCACTTATGATTCTTAAAATAAAAAAGCATTTAATTGCACTAGAATAATTTCATTGCGCGACTTTCTTACCTATATAATATTATGAAGAAAAATATAAAATATTTTATCATGCATTTCGCACATGTACTTAAACTCATTACAATATAACACAATTCGATCATTTAGAATTAAACGTCATTATGTAATTATTTCATTTCGATGAGCATGTCTTCACGGAAGATACGATAACATAATTTTTAAATTACAGTATTAGAGCTTTCCATCAAATATATATAGTCTTTTACGTCGTTCATGTATCTTCGCAAAAACTTATAATCTCTTTTTATATTCGTTATCAACTTTTTAACTTCCTCCTCTCTGTAAAACAATTAAGTTAGGGTAAAACAATCTTTTACATCGTCTATTGCATACCTTTAAAACTGACCTTACGAAACCTAACAGACAATGGACGGAGATATTTTGAGATTCAATCCTGTCAAATGGTTTAATGTCTATTGTAATCTTCAATATAATATTTTTCATTTTAGTTTGTGATATGAAAGATACGCTAAAATAAAAGAATAATATAAACATGAAATCAAATATAAAATTCATACTATTTTAATTATTTTTTACCGATCACGAGTTATTTCCATCAAATTTAAGTCGCTTAATCGTTTCAAGTCAAACATAAAATCCATAGCAAGTTTTACTTCCTTCGAAATATAATCTAACATCAGCAAAATATCGTTATAATCTTTGTACAAATCCAGCAATCTTTTTATATCTAACTTCTCCAAAATTACCCTGTGAACTATGCTTATTAATACATCCGCGTCGTCTAATAAAGAAAAAAAGAGAACTTTCAACTAAATTGCCCTTAATACAAATTAATACATTTCCTGAACTTTTCTGAACTTTTTTGAACTCACCTGCTAAACGAGAAATTATTTTGATCTCTTTAATAAATCGATCATTTGTTTCATCACTAGAATTCTGTACAAATATTATAACTAACAATGAACACGATATAAAACCAATTACAAACATGTTTCTTTCAATATTTTCATGGTATACTTCCCAAATGGTCTCGTTACTAAAAAGAAAATTATAAAAATTATTCAGTACAACATCAATGAAATAATAGAAAGTTGTATATTTAGTCAAATACCTTTTCGCACGAATTTTCAACTCGTCCATTAACAAACAAAAAGTATCTAATTCGGTCGTAATATTTTCTTCCACGTAAGAAGTACGAGGCTCCAAACTTAATCGCAATTTTTCATTTGAATAAGATTCGTTATTTGCTTCCACCATATTTGTGTCAAGTAATTTATTATAATCGTCAACTTTTGAGGTATTTTCATCGATAACACTTGTATTTGGTGAAGAATATTTTATATTTTTATTTTCTAAATTGGAATTGTCCAAGTTTTGAAGATTTGCATTAGACACCATAGAAAATTTGTCAGTATCACTTACTGATGAAGATAAACATGCTAAAACTTGAATCTCTGTATCAGTATCTTTCTTATTTAGCAAATCTAATTTCTGAATTTTACCATTTTGTGTTTGATTTTCTTGTTCAAATCTTAAACTATCTGGCGCATTATATAAACAGACACGTTTGATCAGAAATGTTCGAGATTCACGCACTATTTCTTCTAACACGTTTGCCTTACAATTCTCGATCTTTTGAGTACCCTCCTGTTCACGATTTTCATATTTTAAAAGATAATTTGCTTCTGTATTAATTTCCTGATTGTGAATGATATTCATAGACAAATCTGAGAAATTATCCGAACAACAAAATGATGGTGGTTTAATTGACTCTAAATCTTCTAAACTTTTATTGGAAAATATATCACTTTTATCCATTAAATGTTGTCTATCATAATCTTCTTCGTTTTGTAAATTTTCTGTATTGTTGAAAATATTGTGTGCATTATGTTCTTCATCATTTAATTTATAAAGAATATCATTGTTAATTTCTGAAATGTTATTATTTTTTTTGTTATCGACTGTGAAAGTACGATCGTTACTTAATGAACAAATTGTATATGTTCTTCTTGGATGTGATATTATTGTTTCTGTGTATTTATCTACTACGTTTTTATCTTTATTTAATTCTAAATTTGCAGAAGAGGAAGAATCATTTAATACAGAGTTAAGTGTAGCACAAGCTATTTCTGTGTTATTTTCTTTTAAAGCTGAAGCAAAAGCATCTTGCTGCTCTGATTCATGCAAGGCCATGCTAGGTTTAACATTTGCAGAACTTTGAACTTTAATTGGAGTAGACTTTTCCATAGCATTATTTTCTATAGCTTTTGAAGAATTGTTTATTATGTAATTTTCTTTACTTAAAATTGTATCTGAATTTAATGAACAAGAAATTGCTGCACTAGCATTAGTACAAATGTCTTTTGTAGCATTATTTGAATAAATGGAAAAATCTGTAACATTTCTGTTTTCAATATTATCGAGCAATACTGATTGTCTAACTTCACTGGATCCTGTATCTATTCCAGCTTGAAATTGTGTTGTTCTTATTGCTTCATTATTTTGATTTATATTTGATTCGCAATCTGCAATCACTTTTGTACAATTATGCCTTGTATCAAGTGATGATAATACATTTGTAATTGTCATTGAATTATCATGAAAAATAATAGTTCTATTTGAATGACTTCTATCATTGTTAAATACTGAATTAGAAGAATTTGGTTGTATGTAAAAAGTACTTCGTATAGGCATCTGAAAATTATTCTGATGTTCTGCAGATAAAGTTGTTGCAGCTGTAGTAAATTCCATTGTCTCATCATTACAAATTCTAGTTCTATTATGATTTGTTGATGTTTCACATACATCTGAATCAGGTCTTAATTTTTTAACACTATTCTCTATAATGTCAAAATTATTAGCACTTTCTTCATGAATTTCAATTGCAGAATGCATATTATTTGAAATTGCTTTTGTCATTTCCATGGATGTATTTATTAATTCAGTTTTTTCATCCTGCTTTGTAATATTATATTCACTGTGCTGTGATTTTTGTATCACTATTGATTTGTCTGATGATCTATAAACAGTTGTTTCTACAGCTTTAGTAATATTCATTGTCATATCATGAAAAACAATTGTTTTATTATCATTATCAGATAACATTAAATTTGGAATACAATAATTTATACTATTATTGTTTGGCTGTAAATTATACAAGGAAGATGGTATAGTTGCAGTCATTTCCATTGAAATATTATCAAATCCTTTAGTTCTATCATCTATAAAACACATTCCTGTTTCTGCATTATCACTATTACCATCATATTTAATGATAGATGGTAAGGCTAGAGTTAATTCCATTAACACGTCTTGATTTGTTACATTTGTTTCTTCTACATTAGATTTGTCAAACTGATGAAAACTTTCTTTACTTTTTGATAGTAAAACATTTTGTATTAATTGTGTTGATGGATTCTTAGATATTTCTTTCACATTATTACCTTGAATAAAATTTGCATCAAAGCATACAATATTACCAACAATTTCAGTAAAATCCATACATGTATCCTGAATAGATGTAGTATTTAATTTATTATCATCAAAATTATTTATATTTGGTTTTAATACTTCTGATACTTTTTCATCTAATTTTCTACCTAAGTCTTCATACACAACAATATCCTTTGATATATAATTATCATCTTTCAACTGTAAATCAGTTAAAGAAGTGGATTCATTTCCTTGAGCAGTTCCACCATGACAAGGAACTGATAATTCACTTAAAATTTTATCTTGATAATTTAGATCTTCAATTGCATTCATATGATATAAGTTACAATCTTCAACATTATAATTTTTTCTTATTATTGTATTGCAAACAGATTGTATATCATTTTCATTGGTACTACAAAAAATATTTTCTTTATATACATTTTCGGGCACACATTCTTCTTGATTAGAACATGGTATTTTAAGATTACTTATATCATGTTCTTCATATGTATTATCCCATACAGTGCCTTGCTCCAATGAATTACAAAATTCTCTGTATAATGAATTTTATATTATGTATCATTGAACAAACTAGTTCAAAGTTCATTGAAAACAATTTATAAATAAGAAGCAAGTAACTCACTTAACATGTTTTTTTTCTGCAAAACTAACACGTCTTTTAATTTTTGATGTGATAGTAGGACTATTTTCATTAGATGAACTATTAAAATTTAAGTTCTGCAGAGGTTGCCGTGCTTTAGGGGTCTTAAGTATCTAAATATATTATAAAAATAGCAATAATAATAAAATATAATTTCAAAACAATGAGTTAAACTTATTATAAAATTTTGACACATTAAATTAAGCAAATTGTTGAACCCACATAGCCTTAGTATAAAACACATGACAAAATATACACAAAGCCACAATAAAAGTATATAATAGGAATATACTGCACAACTATCATTAATATTATTTGCACAATGTATAATTTTTTAGATATCAACATACTTACAGAAGACCGCCTTAAACTGTTTCTAGTAGATTTGGAGGGAACCCTGCAAAATTAAAATAATATATATATTATATATATATATAAAATTTAAAGAATTTCGTAAAAAGAAATCTATTAATAAATTATGATTTTTGCATCAATATTTCATACAATGAACTTCCTGATGAAATGAAATCTAAATTCTAAATAATATTGATGTAAAATAAGCAACTCAAAAATTGAAATATATTTCAAGCTTAAACAGTTAACAAATCTAATTTATATTAGTACTACGTTTCAATGTTTAATATTAATAGTACATCAATTTCGTAATGAAAAACAAATAGTAAAATGCTTTGATATGAACAACTAACAAAACAAATGAAATAATGCTTACATTTCATTATATCCAAACCTTATACAATTCAAATTTAAACTTAGAAATTTTGGAAGCGTAAACTTTCTTTTAATGATTGCCAACGCCGTTAGCGCCAATTATAATCATGAGGCAGTTTTCATGAATGTCGATGATTTTCATGCATTACGTCTTCGCCATAAAACACAAAGTAAATGTATGTATTTGTGGATCAGCTCTTATTAAAGCATAAATAAATTGTAATCTACGACCAATGATAAATCGCCAAATACGTGATTCCATTTAGTGACGCTTGTAAAAATATATCTACGATTAAATATCCGTTCGCATTACGAAGTTGTGCTATATGAACTATGAGTATCTTGTAATCGGTATCCAAATAAATAATACGGAAGAGTTTATGTAAATCGGTAGATTGGTTTGATAAAAAAGATAGCGCAGTGTATAAAATCTTACAAACGCAAACATATCAATTTGCCTCGGTAGCACTGTTAATTGATTGTTGAGTGATTGACAGGAGAAACAGCTGATCGAAGGAAACATAAAAACGAAAATTATCGATAATGGAAGGAACTACTATTAAAGTAATAATAAAAGCACCGAATCAGCAGATTACAGATAAAATCGTAAACTGTGATATTGGTTGGACTGTTGGCCAATTAAAAGAACATTTGTCCGACGTTTATCCTAGTAAACCAGTAAGTTTTATTTCATTTATTAGTGAATCTCATTACGCAAAATTTTGTAAAAATTATAGTCTCTTAACAGCTAGTGAAAGCAATTATTAGTATCATTATATAGGAAGAAACAAAAAGTTGCAAAGTTGTTTAAGTATTCTTTGTAAAGATATACTGTGTTATCCATTAAAGATAGTATTCATACTTTCATGAGTTTAATAAGTATTATGTACTTATTAACAGTAGTAGTATTTATTTGCAACAATTAATTCTTAACCTCATGTTATAAATAAAAACAGTAAAAATATTATACTTTAAATAACAGATAAAATAACATGTTAATAAATTATTTGTATTCTTAGGAACGAGCAAGCCAGAAACTTATATATTCAGGACAATTATTAAATGATTCCACATATTTAAAAGATGTTTTAAAACACCATGATGGCCAAGAAGATCAAGCTTATATAGTTCACTTAGTTTGTGCTTCACAAAAAGTATCTGCAAATAAAATGACAACTGATCAAGTTGTAGAAAACAAAAATACAATTTCTACTATAAGAAGTACAATAGATCATACAAGATTAAATAATACAAGCAATATACAAAATCAAAGTGAACATATTAATAATGTAGCCATGCAACATACTTCAGCACAATTATATTCTACACAATATTTTGATCCACGGAACAGCCAACAAATGGCTTGGATGCAACAAGCATACACCCATTATTTTACACAGTACATGCAATTGTAAGTGTTATTTTTATAACTTTGTTTTAAATATAAAGTAATTTGAAATACTTATAATAAAAGAAAATATTTTCTTATAGAATAGCAGCACAAGGAATACAATTACAAACTAGCATTCCATATGTTCAGCAAATGAATATTAATACAAATGATAGTGTTCAAAATCCATATATAAATAACACAAATAATAATAATAATAATAATAATAATAATGTGGGTGATGAACAGCAACAACCTGCTGCTCAAGAAGCTGATGTTAATGGAGGAAATAATGGTGCTGGAGAAGATGGTGCATTTAATAGAGATTGGCTAGATGTTTTTTACATGCTGTCTAGAATTACGGTTCTTTTCAGTATAGTATATTTTTACTCATCTCCTTTAAGATTTCTTATTGTTACGTTTCTTGGCTTTGCAATGTATCTGTAAGTTTATCTATATGGTATATAGATATCATTCATATTATACATACAAATATATATATATATATTATATATATATATATAAGCAAATTGTATGTTTCATAGATATCAGGGTGGTTTCTTCCATGTACAACCTGTTCTTTTACCTGAAAATAATAATGGTAGAGGAGAATGGGTAGATAATAATAATCAAATGTTACAAAATGAAGCAATGGGTGCTCAACCTGTACCACAACAAAATGGTCAAGTACCAACTGTACAAGCAGAAGCAAGAACAAATGGAAATGAAGAACATGAAGAAGAAAGACCTGGTGTACTTGCTTTCACTTGGACATTTTTCAGTACATTTTTTGCTTCACTTATTCCAGATCAGCCAAATGTTATTTAATTTTAACGAATATCAATTTATTACACTCAATTTTATTGTACAGTTAATTTTCTTCCTTGTTTTATGTTTTCAAAACAGTACATTAAACCTGATGAGGTAGTCTCTCTTTGCATATACACTCAATGAATATTAATATCAAGAAAAACGTTATTAAGGATTGTAAAAATGACATTTTTTGAGAAACAGTTTCAAAAAAATTTTACAAATTTTTCAAGTAAGAATCTTGTATACAATAATAAGCATATGTAAATATATAATATATGCTTAAAATAAATAGCATTTTTTGTAAAAATGTATTCATAATAATTTTGTACACTTAATTCTCTGAGATTACCTCTAGGTGTATAAACTAAGTAAATTTATAATTAATAATCATTTTATAGGAAATGATTTTAAATATAATTTATTAAAAAATTATTACAAATTATACCAAAGTGTTTAGGATTTTATTGTATAATAAATTTTCTGTTTTCCTAGTTATATAAAGATACAACGAGAAAAGTATATACTGTGTATATAAACTTATTGTAGAGCTTATAAGGTGTTGATAAATATAAATATTAAAAAAGTAACAAGATTTTAAGATTGTTAGTTTTTATTCAGAAAGAATAATCACTACCACAGCAATTTCATTATAAAATGATTATTTCTGTGATTTTTACTATATACCTGAACCTTATTTTACAGGATATTCATATTTATATATAACTTGCGAACAATACATTAAAGAAAATTGTTTTTAATAAATTATAGAATTTCTGTAATTTTTTAAACTGGTGGTTGATAAACTATCCTTAATGAATCAAAAATACACTAAAACAAAACAATAAAAAATAAAAAATAATATCTATTATAAAATTTGTGAGATATACTTGCAACCTGTCTATTAAAATTTTGTGTAATTAATTATTACTTATTAGATTGTAATAAATAATATATAGTATGCATAAATACATTTGGGTTACATATGTAACTGTTTTATAAAAGTTCATTTATATCTATTTTCAAGATATTAACATTGAAAAATTCTAATATTAAACAAAATATATGTATTGTATTCAAAAATTTGTTGATATAAAAAGTACATCTGTCTAATATAAAGAATATTCATAGTAAAAAAAGAATATTGATACACGACATTATAACCCTATTTGTATGTTTCAAGGTTACAGCATTTATTTTAAACACATGTTAGAAGCAATGCATTAATATTCACGTACGTGACATTCTGTATTCTCAACTCTCCCTAGAGTAGTTTATAAACGATAATTTAATACGTTGTTATTAAAAAATAAAAAGAAAATACAATATGTATAAATTAAAATTAATGTTCTTTCTTCATTTTCGATCTCAATAATTAGAATATAGAAGTCAGTTTATAGGTAAATTGTATTACAGAAATGTCTCAACATAGAATGTCTGATGTCATTGGTATACTTAGAGGAGCTAAAGTAGTGACTGATGCTGTGACTAAACATCAAGAAGAGACAATTAAACATTTAATACAAACTTCAAGTTTAAAAACTACTGCACAAAAATGTCTAACAGATAATTTGAAAACATTGAATAATATAGAACCAAATAAAGTTCCTGTAAGTTTCAATAATAATGACAGTTTATTTATACTATTTTATTTGTAATATGAAATAAATATTTTTAATTAACAATTACTTAGTATATATCATTTACTAACATAAAATAATTTTCAAGTGCATAGGTTCATATGTATAACATGTTTTGCATAGGTTCAAATAATAGAAGAATTTAAAGAAGTGGCAGAACGAATAAATGTTATTGAAAAGGGTATAATAGAATACATAAAATTAAAAACTAAGACAGCTGTGGGAATACCACCAAATGTAGATAAACCTATAAAATCTAGTAAAACTAAGTTATATGTTTATAATCCCGCTAAAGATCCAAAAGAAATAACAACAGACATGGATATTTCAAATGTAAAATCTGTAAAAGAAAAAATTGAAACAATTTCCAAACTTGAAAGTGAAGTACCTAAAATTGTACTTTCAGAGAAAGACAAAGCAATTTTAAAAAAATTAGAATTAGAACACGAAAGAAACATAAAGAATCTGAATATAAAACAAAATATACAAAATGTACCAAGAACTAATAGTGAAGTATTAGAAACTACAGTAATGGAAAATACAAAAGTAACATCAGACATTTCTCATGTTAAACCTAAACCATCTGTTAGACCAAAACAAACTGTAAGTTTCTTTGTATTGTTTAATGTAGATTACATTATGTAAATAATTATATTATAGAAATTATATGATGTTCTGATTATGTTAAATTATATAATACATTTTATGTAAATATATTAATAAATAAATTTATATTTTAAAGCTTTCACCTAATGCGAAAGCTCAGAAAGTTCCAGCTACAAGATTACAAAGAATGGTGAGCTTTGGAACATTAGGAGTTGGTCTTGGTGTTGGTACAATTGCAGAATATACACGAAGGACACTTGGATTAAAAAAACAAAGTCTTGGAGATACATTTGATAGTTTGTTTCTTACTAAAGCAAATGCAGAAAGAATAGTTTCTACCTTGTGTAAAGTAAGAGGTAAGTACTCTCAATACATTTATTATATATTCTATCAATTAATACATTGCATATCTTTATAATAGGTGCAGCTTTAAAAATTGGACAAATTTTAAGTATACAAGATGAAACCATTATGAACCCTGAATTACAGAAAGTATTTGAACGAGTCAGACAAAGTGCTGATTTCATGCCAATGTGGCAAGTTGAGAAAGTACTAGTTGGAGAACTTGGACATGATTGGAGAAATAAATTAGCTACCTTTGAAGATAGACCATTTGCTGCAGCTTCTATTGGTTGTTAAATTCGTTTAACTAAAATAATAAAGTAACAAAAAAGTATTTTGAAAAATAATTTTTATATCAAAAAAATATTATAGGCCAAGTTCATCATGGTACCTTGCTAAATGGACAAGATGTTGCAATTAAAATTCAATATCCTGGTGTAGCTATGGGTATTGAAAGTGATGTTGAAAACTTAGTAGGCATAATGAAGGTAGTAAAGCTTTTAATTTTATTTTATTCTAGATTAGCTAGAAATATACATAGAGACTTTCACAGGTTTGGAACATTTTCCCAAAAGGTATGTTTATAGACAATTTGGTAGAAGTGGCAAAACGTGAACTTGCATGGGAAGTAGATTATGTTAGAGAAGCCGAATGTACAAGAAAATACAAACAACTTATAGAGTCTTACTCAGATTATTATGTTCCTGCTGTAATAGGTAAATTGATAAATTAAAAGATTGGTATTTGTCTAAATGTAGAAGTAATAACTCAATTTCATATTTAGATGAACTATCAACAAAGCAAATTTTTACAACTGAAATGGTAGAAGGAATTCCAGTAGATAAATGTATTAATTTGGATATGGAAACAAAAGAACATATCTGCAAATTAATCATGAATTTGTGCCTTAAAGAACTATTTGTTTTTCGATACATGCAAACTGATCCAAATTGGTCTAATTTCTTTTATAATACTAAGACAAGACAAGTTTGTATACAAAACATTATTATTACTAACAAGCTGATATTATTCTTTAGATTATTAATTATATTTTCCAATACAATTCTCAGTTAATATTGCTAGATTTTGGTGCATGTAGAGGATATGAAAAGTCATTCATGGATAAATATATTGAAATAATTTATGCTGCAAGTGAAGGTGATCGTAAAAAAATTTTAAATTTGTCCAGAGAAATAGGATTTCTTACAGGATATGAATCTAAAGTATGAAATATATTTTTTTAACAATTATGAATTTTAAAGAAAGTATTGAATTAATATCTATATATTCATCATACTGCACTGATTTCAGCTTATGGAAGAGGCTCATGTAGATGCTGTAATGGTTTTAGGTCAAACATTTGATAAAAATTGTGAATACTATGACTTTGGTAAACAAGGTGTAATTAAACAGTAAGAATAGTTTATCACTATTTAAATTAAAAATCTATAACCTTTATACACTATACATATAATATAAAATTAATGTAATTATTATATAATTAATGTATAATATTCATTGCAGACTCCAATCATTAATGCCAACAATATTAGATCATAGGCTCTGTCCTCCACCTGAAGAAATATATAGTTTACATAGAAAATTATCGGGAGCTTTTTTACTATGTGCTAAACTTAAGGTTAAAATAAATTGTCGCGATATGTTTCGCGAAGTTTATGCGAATTATAAATTTGGATAGATGTCATAAATTAATGTTTTTTAAATATGTATATTTAAATATAAACATTTTTATAACTAATAATTTTACAGCATTATATCATTTACTTGTATAATTAATAAAGGTTTATTAAATTTATGCAAATAATAAAAATGCCTTGTTGACATATGACATTCCGATGTATTTCTTAACCATATTCTTAGCTACTATAATATTAACAGTGTAAAATATACCTTCTATTTTAATTTGTATTTTAACAATAATTTATGTATTATAATTTTTTTTACGTAAACAAGATTTATTTAATAAGAATTATTATATTTTGTTATTTGCTAACATGATAAATATTTAATACTGATAACAAACGATACCTTAACCTATTCATTGATTTATTCCAATTAATAAGTTACCCATAATAAATTTTATAAATTGATTGACAAAATGTCAAACAAATTTTTATATTTTGCATACGGAAGTAATATGTTAATGAAAAGAATACATATTAATAATCCAACAGCAATACGAAAAGACATCGGCGTTTTGAAGGTAAATATATACTGCTACAAAAAATTTTCTAGTTGCTACATATTTTATTTTTAATTTAATTAATTAAGAACATCAAAATTTGCGATACCTAATAATATTTTACTATTTGTTTAATTTTTAAATATCCTTTATTTAATTATTTAATATTGTCTCTTTATTTTGTATATATTTTTTTGGTTATAAATTATTATTATATTACATACCAAATTATATCAGAATTTCAGATTAGATTTCATAACACATTCAAAGAGATGGGGTGGATGCTCTGCAACAATTGTTCCCACAAAGAATTATACTGTATGGGGAACAGTTTGGGAATTAGATGAATGTAATATTTATACACTAGACTGTCAAGAAGGTGTTGCAGATAAATTGTATTTCCCTTTGATGGTTGATATTGAAACATTAGCTGGTAAAATATTACAGTGTAGAGTATATCAGCAATATAACAATCCAGATGAACATGTAAAATTGCATTTACTACCAAAACATAGAAGACCTTCACCATTGTATTTGTATGTTATATTCAATTTTCTTTAATTTACTGGTGGTTGATTATATAACTACTAATTACTCTGCTGTAGGGA